GGGGGGGTCCTGACCAGTCTTCCCTGTGCGAGTCCTCTCTCCATTTCCAGCCTGACTCGCGGGGCTCGGGGAATGCACCCCCAATCGCGGTATTGGGGTCTAGGGAGCTGCCTGAAGAATGAATTGCAGCTAATGAGGGAAGGTGTCTCGACGCAGCTGTGAAAGGGGTGAACTAAGGATAAACAAAATAGGCAACAACAACAAAAAATTCTTTCAGCCTGAAAAATGAAGTGAGGGAAAATGAGTGGAAGTAAGTTTTGATTGCATCCATTACCCAGAGAGAAAACAGCAAAACAACTTAATTTTGAGTTCTTGAGTCTTTCTAACTAAGCAGCATTTCCAGAGAAAAATAAATTGCTTAGCAGTCACGGGGCCTTGGGCAAATCTGGAAAACACGGAGTCTGGGGAAGATCTGGGTACAGCTGACGGCAGAGGCGGGAGATTTCAGTCCTGTGTGCACTCGGGTTGGCTAATTACTGGTTTTGGAGGGGGTGGTTTGACTCGTTATATTTAAAAGATATTTGGAAACCTTGAGAATTTTTAACAAGATACCTCAAGCATGTGCAGCTCTGCTGTGGTCCAATTGCTTTAAAATTGTTAGGACATATTTTCAGAGGCAGCTATGGAAAAACTAGATGTGAATTCCGAAATTGGTACACCACGGCCTTCAGAACAGTGATTCCCAAATGCTAGTCATCCAAGCATCATTTCCCTGATTTTTCCTGTCTCCCAGAGCCCATGTACCCCTATGCATTTAATATTTTCCTCTAATTGTCCCAGTTTAGTCTTTTACTTTAAAGGGAACATTACATCCATCATTTAAATGCCCTGAAAGAAAATAAATGTAAAACTAAGTACAATGAAAATGAAACCTTATTTAATTTGCACTAAACACTGGTTTAGCAGAAAGCTCTGAGCTTGTTCTTTGCTAAAAGAACTTTGTTAAAACGAAACACAGACTTCAAGAGTCTTAAAGCTACTGAGGCTCTACTCGAGCCCTTCTCTTTGGTTTTAGCAGCATTGCGAGAGGACTGGAGGAGCCCGCAGAGCTTCTCTCCCTCTGCGAGACTCGGCGTTCATTGCTGCCGTGCTCTAGGGGCACCTGCTGCCCACCCCACACTTGGGGAAACGTGGCGTTAGAACTGAGAAGCAGCTTGTTCTTTGTGCACCAGAAAGCCAGCCTAGATCCAAGGGATGCAAACTTTCAACGGTTTATGAGAGGTCAGCACGAGCAAGCCGCTTCTGCAGCAGGGCTGCCAATGAGAGGGCGCAGCTGCAAAAGGCACGAGAGTCCAACCTGGGCAGATCGCAGAGACAGAAAGCGGACTAATGGCTGTCAGGGGCTGGGAGGGGGACCCGGGGAATGGGCAGTGACCGGTGACGTGTGTGGGGTAACAAAAATGTTCTGGAATTAGAAAGTGGTCATCAGTGCACCACCTACCTTTTTTAAAACTATATTTTTAAAAATCACCTAATTCCACAAATTAAAATGGTAAATTTTATGAATGTAAATTATATCTCAGTTAAAAGTAACGAGTGCTCCTTATTTCCATGGGTATTTGTGCCGGCCTGTCAGGGATGCTGACGGTCAGTAAGATGACCCCTATGTTGCCTTCTGACTGGAGATTCCACACATAACTCATCGACAGGAGACTCCTTAAGGCTGCAGAACACTTGAACTAACTTCTCTCTAAAGCTGTACACCATTAGCCATTTCTTTTTCTTTTTTAAATAGCTGCATGAGGCTGAAAACGGAATTCTATTTTTTATTTTTATTCAATTTATCGGAGTAGCATCGGCTAATAACCTGTGAACTTCAGATGTACAACTTTACAACACAGCATCTGCACCCCCCCGTGTGTGCCCTCACCAGGAACTTTGACCTCCTCACCCTCTTTG